GCGTTGAAGCTGAGTAAGCATATCTAATGCGTCGAACATCCATATAAACTAAATCTAAATTCAGAATCAAATCATTTGATATCATGCACATAATGTTCAGTTCAGATATTCAATAATCATTAGTCAGTATTCATCATTCATTATTCAACATTTATATTCATATTCGACGTTCATCGGTTATTCATAATATTCACAATATTCAATTCAATAATCAATAATCAATATTCATTCATATTCAATATTCAACATTCGACAATATCCTTAAACTATTCTTAGTATAAGGCCAATCATTTTAATATTTGTCAACCCTTACACGAATTCTAGTTTAAATAAATAAACCATATTCCAGTATAAAGTATTCCTAAATAATCCTTAAGCTAGGCCTAGTTTAAGATAAAAGGGTTTTGAAATTCTTAAACTTACCTTCACTTAAGGCCAACCAAAAACCGACAGCGTAGTGTTCACTGTTGGGTGGGTGGTACCTCCAAACGAGTAGGTACTCAAGTTTGGTTCTTGGATCCCGTACGTGCGTTTTAACCCTAGCCACCGGGGTTCATACCCGCAAGGCCTAACTTAAATAGGTATATCTTAGAGGTCTTCTAGATACCTTTCAAATCGACATTAATATGGGTATATCTTAGAGGTCTTCTAGATACCCTTAACAATATATTATTTTCACATTCATCAATATATTCATTATGATTTAATCATTCACAATTATCATTTTTAATCAGAATATTTATTAAGATTTATTCATCATAATCATCAATCAATAATCATTACCATAATCATTAATCAACATAATATTCAATAACAATTAGCGGCCTAGCTTCGGGTGTTAACACCCTAACTTACTGTCATGCATCACATAACATTTTATTTGTTAAAAACATTACTTTTAATGTGAAAAATCATTTTTATAATGATCATAATCAATTGGTATCAAAAATAGGATTTTAGGGCTAAGAAAATAACATTTTCAGACAAATTTTCGGATCAGAAATTCGGGGGATCGATCCAGCCCTCTGGATCGATCCATATGTAGAGGAATTATGCCCAGGTGATCGATCCACCCATTTGGATCGATCCAGACAGCCTGGTTTTTGGTTACTGTTCATCTTCTTCTTCGTTCGGGTCCAATTTCAAAAATACCGTTTTTAGTTACCGAACTTCAACGAAACTATATAGAGATGTTCTCCAAGGTTCATAGATCATTTTGGCATCATTAATTCATAGTTTTAACATCAATTTAATGGTTTATGATTTTTTGTTCTTCAAGCATGTCAAACACAAAACTCAACCAAACGACCGTTTATGAACGTAGAAACGATCTATACGAACATTCTAGTCACTAGATATATCTACGGGCTTACCTCGAAGGCAAATGAAGGTTTTGAAGATTTTCCAGCGAAACTTCCGGCGAGAATTGTAGCTATCTCCGGCGACCTCACACCAATACGACAGCACCACTGCGTTCTCCTCACTCCCAGCCGGGGAACACTTTTTGGTCCAACTTTCTCCGAATTGAAATCCATTTGCACCGTTGCGATTGTGCAATTAAACTCTATCCAACGATATAATTTTTATATTTATTCGTTCTACTTTTTCTGACATCATATTTTTAGGTGGTTGACTTTGACAGAGTCAAAATTGATTTTGTTGACCTTTATTCAGAAAGGTTTTTACATTTCATTCATATTATTTATTCTCATGATTTATTTCAATAAATCATTTCAAAGTTTACATCACAAACAAATTCTTCATTTATTCTTGATTTGGGTCTGTACTCAGGTTCTCAATCAAGGTCACACAGTAAGTCAACATATTGGATTTATCTCTATGAGATTTATCTGGATTATGATATTGGATATCAAAACATATTTCATGTCGGCCCAAAGCCCAAAAACAATTTATTTTAATCAAACAAATTTGTTTAATTGAATAATTATTCATTAATAATTCTAGGGTATATTCAACATTTCGTAGTGATCTTACTTAATCATGACCGTGTCATGTTTATTTGGTTTTACGTCATTATCCACATGAATACGTAATCTCAACTTTCGGTGTTATTAAACTCGTTCGTTCTTCAAGAGGCTAATAATCTTAGATTAAGCAAGGTATCCAATGATCCTTTTTGCAGGTTCTCGTTCAGATTTAACACCAATAACCAAGTTCCATTGCAGGGTATAACATTGTATTTTGGAGCATGTTTGACATATTTGCACCTCAATTCGTTCATTCACAAGTCTCGATCATACGTCATTAATCAACAACATTCTTTCTTTGATTGAAAGTCCTTCAGTAGCATTTGTAGTTTCAAGTTCGCGATAGTTGTAGTGGAAGATTTGGAGGTTGTTTAATTCATGTGTCATACCGTAATCTTCTAAATCATCAAAACATCTTCACATCGTTCACAGTTCAGCAACGACTTGTAAGTAATATCTAATGGCTTTTATCGGTTCAGGATTTTCAGAATACGGGATTTGTCATCATTTATGAGGAGGTGTACTGTCGATCGGTTGTACAGTAGTTTGTCATTTATCGACCTTATGCCGAAACATTTCTTCGTTCACTTCATGGTAGATCTCATTATCGTTAATGAGTCTTTGCATTAATTCGTATCCACAGGTGATAACGTTAGAGTGGCGTTTCATATACGTCTTGTCGTATTCAACTTTTTTCATCGATTTTGGAATATATCCAGATACGTTCTTGATAATGACGGGTTTGATGTAACACTATGGTTGACTTCATTTCGAGTGAAGAAGGAAATATATTCGGTATGAGATTCAATTCACGAATTCATAAAGTGAGGAATCTTCTCTAGTTCTTACACCAACATCGCATATAGGTTCGGGATTTTCGCTTGAATGATTAAGCTTGTTCTTGTGACATCATTTCTTCTCTGGTTGTTGCACACACATTTCCTTGTTAGGGTCAAAAAAAGAGTTTCTTGATCATCATCGATAATAATCTTCATAGATAACGCAATCGCATTAACTGTTTCATAGCAGTTCCCTAAAGAGGTTTGACATAATGTTCAAGTCAGGGTAGTTTTATTATTGTGATCGAGTCACGTAGTTCACAGAGTATAGTTTCCAAAGATTGGTATTGTTGTACCCGAGACCTGGGGTGGTCTAGGATATCAATTTAAGAAGTGAAAGAAGAAGAGAAGGTGTAGAAATATAGGGAAGGCTGAATTCAGGAGAAAACAAGGGAGAGGGAAAGAAGCATTTATCAAGTGAATAATAAGAGGAATCACACACACTTATCTTCACTCGGGTTAAACTCTAGTATTTAAATAAGGAATCACTCAACTTATTTAATATATCTAGAACCTAAAACTCCCACTTAAGAGAACCACTCTTAAGATATAGAATTAGGATTTAATATATAGGATTTTGAAAGAGAGAGAGCTGAGCAAGAAACTTATATTATCACAATATATATTTT